CAGGAAAGGGCTCTGGCTCACTCACACAGACCAGGAAGTAAAAGTCTTGCAAATCTTGTGTTTCCCAGTGTGTGCTCCCAGACGGCTGATGCTGTGCTCCCAAACTCGAATGTAAGGCAAGCAAGAGAAGAGAAGGAGCAGCAGCTGCAAGCAGAAGAGAGTGCTGTCTCCATCTGAAGAGGCAAACAGCCCTGGGAGTACTTCTATGGAACAGACCAAACACAGCTGAATGGCACCAGGCTCTAAGTACAGGATGGGATGGAGAAGAGTTTGCTCCTGACTGCTCTTCCCAGGAAAGGCTGCTGGGAAAACACTGCTCCATGTTTCCAAAGTGACAGCACATTACGGACACAGTCATGATGTGAACAAATAGTAACAACAGTGGCAAATTATTGGGGATAATTTCTGCATTGAGCATCTCATTAACCTGTGAGATCCTGTGCCCTCAGATGGGCACAAATCTAGAAGGAATCAACAATCAATTAAAGCTCTAAACAGAGGAGAATATACAGAGATGCACTAGACAAAAGGAACATTTACAAAGAACATAAACTCTCATACTTCAAGGCATCAGACACCAGACAATGAGGGTTAAAAAGAAGTGTTCCCTCTGTGCAAGTTGCTGCAGATGCTGCTGTGTCCCCTATCCCAGGTGAGGTCAATGACTGTTCCTGGGACCCTGTGGCTTCCCATGACAGATGCCACACAAGGCAGATAGGATACCAAGCCAAGGGCTGGAAGCAGGCAACACTGGAGGCTGTTGCAGGGTGAGACTGTAGTCATGGGTTGGGGGAGGGATGTGGAGCGTGATTTCTCCTGGTCCCTTGTGTAGACATTAGGACCTTTCCTGTGACAGTGAAGCTGTCCACAGGGCTCCCTCTGGCCTCAAAGGGGGACTCATGGCTCTGTCTTTTAATTGCAACTGGGGTCTATATCAGAGCTGTCTCATCTGCATGGACTGTTGGCATCACTTCTCTTCCAGAGAGGGACCTGTTTTACCCTGTTAACAGCTTATTGACCCCAGCATCAGGCAGAAGCATACAAATTTCTGCAGCACATTTCCAGTAGTGCCTGAATCAAAACTTTGAGTAATGGGATGACAGGGCTTTTCAGGATGGAGGAGTCTTCAGGTGATCTCAAGATCCTTCTCACAGCAGGATCAGCAGTAAGACCAGGCCAGAAGGCTCAGGGCTTCACCCAGGCTGGCCTTGAAGCTCTCAAGGATGGAGACTTCACAGCCCCTCTGAGCAACCTCTGGAGGAAAAAGTTTGGAGATTTTTCTCATACCCAGTTTGTATTTTGCTTGTTCTGACTTGGGTCCATTGGTTTTTTTTTGTGCTGGGAGGCCCAAAACACAACTGTTCCCATTGTGAGTCTACAAATTCCAAATAAGGGGAATATGGCGTTTTAGGTTACAGGAAGGGTGCCAGAAGGCAACCTGGGCGTTGTAGTTCACAAAGTACTCTATTACACATGTGCAATGAGTTGCTAAAGATTAGTCAAGAAAGTCACATGTTACGAAATGATACAATTTGAAACCAATATTTAAGCTTTCTTCTCTGACAATAAAGGATCTTTTGATACACACTACATTGGTGTCTCTTCGGTCCCTAGGACCCATTATTTATTATATTAATAATATTGCAACAAGGTGATAATTCCTTCCCTCCAGCTTCTGCCCAGAATGCTGCTGCTTTGCGCACCGCCAGTGCACATGGCAAAATTATGCTCAACTCCCAGTCTGCCACATGCCTAGATTCCCTCCAGCAGTCAAACAGTCCTCAGCCCTTTTTGTTGCAAAGCGATGTTTTCCTCTGTGCAGGATTTTTTGTTTGCTTTGCTAGGTTTCACACTCGTTCTCAGCCTGCCTTGGTGACTGTAGCAGGGAGATTGCTGAAAGTGAAACCAGTACACTGCTGAAAGCTCAGCAAAACAATATTTATTACAAAGAAGTAGCCAACAAAACGAGAAGCTGAGAGACAGAAAAGAGAAGGGAAACAAGCCCCCAGGACAATCCCCAACTCACTCAGGCATTATTTATGAGGTTGTCTTACTGACCCCAGAATGCTTAGAATTACCCATAGCAGAAGCCACATCCCCAGAGCATCGGCAGGTTTACAAAACGGCAGGCGTCCCTGCTGAGGTTACCTTGTCCTCCATGAGAATCTTGAATTCACTCCCAGCAAGAGCTATCTACTTTTTATACAATTAACCTATGACATCTACCTGGGCAGGTATGGCCAGGACTGCTCAGCTAGAGGCCCTCGGTCCCTCCGCCCATTAAGTAAGTAGTACCCCTTCTGTGCCTGCGTAACTACATTGGAATTTGCCTGCACCTGCATGCTACATCTCAAGGCGTCTTTTCTAAATGAGTCTGGGGGCTTACTTAATCATACTCCACTTTCTCCTTCAAATGTCCTTGGAGGGCCATCGACCAATAGTGAGGCCCCAATTTATTTCAGTTTATACAAAATGCTTCCTTCAAAGATGAAGTTCTCATGTATCAGTGCTCATTTTCACGTAACTCAGCAGGAAAAGAACCAACTTTCACAGGTGGCTGGGCCAAAACACAGACCAAAAATAGCAGCATCTAATTAAGCAGGAACACAGTGCATCCATGTTACTGCTCTGTTCCAGAGCCTACTGGTGGCACCATTTGGCATCATCTGAACATCTGACAAACTGTGTTCTTTCATGGTTGTAGATGAAGGTTCTAACCCAGACATATCACTGGCCATGCACTACAGTTCCATGCCTGGTACCAGCACCCAGGTGGAGTGTGACATAAGCCAACACCTGCAAGCCTGACCACCCAGCCAGTAGTTTACCCACCTATCTGCCCATCTGTCCTCACTGTGGCATTTCACCTTTGCCCTTTGACATCAGAGCACTGTGGGCTGCTGGAAGAGCTCCTCTTCAGTCACCTCTACAGGGTGACGTCTACCAAAAGGCAGAAGAAGGGAGCAGGGCCAGTGACCTTCAGAGAGAACACATCCATGGGAGCCTCGAGCCACGGTAGCTCTCAGTTCCTAAAGTTCTGGACTGAAATCAAAGCCATCTGTTTTGTTTTTTGATTCTTTTAGAGAAAACTATTTGAAAAGTTTATTCTCTGCCATCGCAGACATTTACAAGCTACATAAAAATGGAAATTCCCTGTTGATATGCTAGTCCCTGGTTTTGCAGGAAAGGAAGGAAGGAGATGTGAAATTGTAGAGCACATGTTTGAACAAGGCATGGAGATGTAGCAGAGACGGGCTCCTATGTGCATTCTTGCCTGTATGAGAGATAGGGAAGGACCTGGGGCTTGCAGGGGACAACACCGCTCCTACTGGGATGAGCAGTGTGGCAGCTGGTGAAGAGATAAGCATGGAGCACAAAGCTGAATCCACACAGCTTGCAAATGCAAAGAAGCAGGAGGGTGTCCCCTACCCCACAAGCAGCTATAGACACTAGGAGTTGTGGGATGAACGTCTGCAGTGTGGTGAGGGCCAGATTTATTCACATCAGTTGAAGCAATGGCAGCAGCAACAACAAGCATACAACAAAACATTGCCTATGTCTTATCATGTATATGTTTCTCCCATGTCTCTAAGCACTTAACTCACACAATTGCTTAATTATGAGCAGAAATTCATGGCTTATGATTAAAAATCTTATCAAGGAAGGAGATTTCTAGCAGGGGCTCCAAAAATGAGTACAAGGCAGAGTCAAGTCGTGAGATGAATCCCTGAGAGCTGGCACAGCAAGCTCAGGCATGGCAATTTGGCTATTTCAGAACAATTGGGGATGTGCCAACGGCACCAGACCGGGTCTGTCTCTTGCTTCACCATCAGCCCCTTGGGGACTGCAGTGCTTTCCCTAGCAGGGCTCTGAGAGTGATCCTGCAAAGGACAGGAGTCAAAGAAGAATTGTGAAGGCATTTTGAATGCTAGTTAGCAAATTCTCACTTAAATGAGATGGAGAACCTACAGGAATTGCAGCTGACCTTCACACTAGCTGGAGCAGAAGGTTGTTATTAAAGGAACCAGTGAGAGGAACAGTGCAGTTATTCAATATAATGGGTCACAGAAGCCTATATGTAGTTAAAAATAAAATCTATTACCTGGGAAAATCAGCTCAGATGACTCTACATCACCAAAGCACACTCCTCTGGCTGAGAACCACCAAGCCCCATGTCCTGCAGCTTCGCTATCCTACCCTGGCAGCTGCTCCCAAACAGCTGGTAACTCCCCAGAAAAGATTAAAAGAGCAAGTACTTCCACTGCTGTGGCCCAGCCATTGCTTGTTGCCAGCCCTGGATGTCACCATCCTACTTTGGATTGCGCACAGATCTGCAGCCAACCATGCTCAGTTACACCAACAATGTGACAAACCTGCAGACCCTGCCCTGCCCATCCCAGATACCTGCATAACCCCAGCTCCTTATGCCATACAGGCAAGCAGTGGCCACCAGCCAGCTCATACCACCTGCATTTCTTACTGCAAGGTTCCAGAAGAGGAAGGAAATTCTAGAAGTACAATGGCCTGGGAACAACTCAGTGTCCCCAGGACTCGAGTTTGCACACAAGAATATTGAGACACATCCAGCACCCAGGGCCAGTGACCTTACCTCTGGGGCAGCACAGAGGCACACAGTGTGTTCAGAGAAAACATCTGGGTTAGAGTAAAGCCTGAGTCAAATGGGAAGAGCCTGGCATGGCCCAACATGGAGCAATCTTCAGAGTACACAAAAGGGAGGCTGGAAGCTCCTTCAGTATGTTTCAGTATCAGTGCCAACGCTTTGCTTTGGCACTCTGCAGGTTGCATGAGCTCCTGGGCTGGGAAGCCTGGTCCTACTTCACTCAAGAACACTCCACACCTCCCCTTCCCCTTCAGCACTGTGGGTTCTGCCTTTATGCTCGCCTCAGCACGGAACATCCACAGAAAGCCATGTCTCCCTCCTGAAATGCTATTTTATTTCCTTTTACTTTTTTCTTCCCCTCCCTGTTCTGAAGACTCACCAGGCACCATTCCTGTCAGCGCTGGAGTGGAGTAGCTGCCCTGTCCAGCAGGAGGGACATGCGGAGGGTATCCTGGGAGGGTTGTGCTTGCCAACTCACGACCTGAGGAATCAAACCAACAAATCACCACGTGAGCATTGCGGCAAGCGGACATGGTTTTACATCTCCCCAAGCACCCAGAACACAGCCATGCATTTGTCATCACGACTCTGTGAGGACCAGCATGGGATTTCCAGCCTGGCAGGGAGGGCAGGCACAGTTTTGTTTTCTCTATAAGCTGCCACAAAGCTCCAAAGAAGTGAGAGACAGGAAGGGGAAGAGCAGAGGTCTGCAGGGAGGCTAATGCACCCGACTGAACTCTGGCTGCTTGTCCCTATTCCCAAATTCCTCCAAAGCTTAGATTTGTAAAGTCAGAAACAGTGAAATAGGAAATAACACTGATCTTAAAGACATTTTTCCAGAAAACTCTCTAGAAAATCACAGTGCACAGGCTAAGGATGTTTACTGTCTAAATACAACAGAGGACACCTCTAATAAAAGCAATTAAAAAAAAAAAAGGACAAACACAAAACCTTAAGACAGGAAGGGGGCTTAAAATACAGTTTGCTGTGGTGCCAGAAGAAGAGTCAGATTCCCAAACACAATCTTATGCAATTCTCTTTCCTTAAGCTGCAGAAACATGGTTTTTTTTAATCAAGTACGCACAGGTCTTCCATAAAACTAACCCCACAAAAACAGGCAGTGGAGATGTTCTCCATCTCCCTCTGCCTCTGAACATGGGGTGCTCTGTCTTCCTTCACTCCCTCCCAGGAACAGCTCCTAGCACCTCATGGGACATGTCACTGCTGGCAGAACAAACACATGAGGTCAGACAGTGTGCCTTGCACAGCATCGCGGAAGTGACGCCTCAACCCTGCCTGGACCCTGGTCCCATATGACAGTCCCTCGATAGTTGCCATCTCTTCAGGCTGCCACAGTGGAATTTCAAGGAAACTGTCGATGGCAGTTGCCATAAGTGACCCTCCTGAAGAAATTGATGCTTCTGTGATTTCGCCAGGGAGGATCCATGCCTTATCCCAGAGGGACTCCTGGAGCTCACTCATGGTCTTCTGGACTCCCACAGCATCCCTGGGCAGAGCACTTACCCAGAGATTAGTGGCTTTCAAGACACACTCAGGTGCCTGGTAACATTAACCCTACCACACCACAGCTGGGCCAGCAGTTGGATGCAGGCCCTGCAATCCCTTCCAGGTGTGGGTATCACACAGCTTGCTCAGGGTGTCACTCGTATAGGGACCTGTCCTATACATCACCCCAGCACTTCAGGCCCTCCACTGACTGTCAAGAGGCTCCTCCAAGGATGAGGGGAACAAGGCAACCCTCACAGCCAAACCATAGCTCAGGGGCAGAGATACTGCATGGGTGCTGAGCTCTGAAAAGCTCAGTGTGCTCAGGTAAGAGGAAGGGAGCTTGGGTGAAGGCAGCTCTTGGCCCAAAGGATGACCCCTGCTCTTTCAACCCCTACAGATCAGGAACCACTCTGGCTCCAGCTAGCTCCAAGATCCTCTTGGCCCAAAACAGCTCATTAGCTGGGCAAAAATCACAGTGAGTGCAGGTTCCTTCATCAAAATATAACATGTTGGATCAGCAAGAAAAATAATGTGGCTTTCTTGATTTTACCACCACTGACAAGAAGAAATGCAAAGATTCTGGTTTTCACATTGCTTTCTGCAGGCATTTGTTTTTATGTCAGCAAACTTTTTTCAAGTCTGTAGAGCTTTAAGAGATTGAAACTGAATGTTTTCCCAAAAGCCAAAACCTTTTTTTAAAACTTTTTAGGTTGATAGGGATTTTGAGCCACAATTTCATTTTGAGCTGATCTTAAAATAAAACTTAAAAATCTTCCTTTTTTTTTGATATCTTTCAAAGAAATGAGACCTCCTTTGATAAGAGACAAGTACATGAGTTATTGCAAATTGCAGCTCACGATCTCTGGGCCATGGTCATGAAGGCTACTTTCCCCCTGTCTTATGATGAAGGAGTCTGTGCTGAAACTCCAGCATTGCTGCAGTGATCTCTTAGCACATGCCCCACCTTCCTCAGCACTCTGCATCCACAAATTGGGTTGCACACTGTTTCTCTCAGGCCCTTCCTACAGAATATTTATGGTGCATTCACATTCTGAAAGAATTTAAGTTTCAAAACAATTGATTAATTTGCTCTCCAGTTGTAGGGAGAAGTCAGATCCCTTATGGAATGGCATCATGAATTCTAATTATTCAATGCAGGGAGAAAATGGCTCTTTTAGATTAAAATGTTCTCCCCTCATCACTGCCCTGTTTCCTTCTCTCCTACACAAAATTAAATTCTGATTGTGTCATTCTGCAGCCTGGACAAGACAAAAGTATCTGCAATCTACTTAAGTCACAGAAGGTAAGTTCAGCCCCAGTGCTGGCAGGGACTCAGTAAGGACTGTCCATAATGCAGATGAACACCTCACAGCCTGACTGCTGCCATCCAGGAACCCTCCACAGACTCAGGAGCACACCATGGCTCTTCACTTCCTCAGTGGTATGGTGTTGCCACAGAATGGCACAACGCTTCTTGTCCCAAACGTGCTTTGGTCTGAGGGTGAGCTCCCCCTCCCAAATTGCTCCACACTGACTACTCCCCACTCCTAAGTTTTCAACAGCTATTAAGGAAAACTTGCAATTTATTTCAATATTTTGAAATTTTACAAATTTTCTACTGTCTCCAAGGCCACTGTCACAACCAGAACAGTTAGCATAATTGTCAAGGGCAACAAGCAATGTAACCACCACTGGAGACAGCATGAAGACCAAGATCTCTGGTCTTTAGTGAATCCAGAAAACACCACTTACAGTCTACTCCACAGATTTGGGCTGGTTTCCACTACATCCAATTTCCAATTTAAATGTTCTATCACCAGCTGACAAATCTTTCTGGCAGGGTCCCCACAGCCAGGCCTCAGGCAGGACCTAGGGGGGCTGGCCAAAGTTGATCAACGGCATAGCTGCAAGTGCTCAATCCCACCTCGTCCTGTCTATTGCATCCAATGTATTCCCCTCCCCCCTCCCAAAAAAGATTGGAACATCCCATCTATTCCAGTACCCAACACCCTCTGATTTTTCACCCAGAGCATGGCTGGGTATTGGAACATTGAAATGGTCACAGCACCAAGCCTGACAGAGTTCAAGAATAATTTTGACAATCGTCTCAGGTACATGGTGTGACAGGGATGGTCCTGTACAGGGTTAAGAGTTGGACTTTATGATCCTTGTGGTTCCCTTCCAATTCTGCATATTTTGTAATTCTATGAGATTTTCCTCCAATACTGTCAAGCTTTAATTGCACAGAAATAATTGATTTAAGAGAAAACACTAATCCACCAGGCAGAAAGAGAGAGTAAGAAGTAGTCTCTGTCCCAAGGTGTTCTGTTCCTTCCCTACCCATGCAGGCAAAACAGCCAAGAGGAACTGAACACCTACATTTTACCAGTGGGTGTAGACATAGACATAGAGAGCAAAGTCCTTCAAGACACACTTACTCCTAAATGTTTTTTTTTTTAAACTTTTTGAAGGTTATTTTAGATGCCTAAACTTGGAGATGGGATGGAGTTTCTCCCTTGCCTCACTGGGCAGTGTCATGCCAGTGAGATCAGATCAGATCAGATCAGATACCAGGTCCAGCCTACAGAGAAGCTCAACTGGAGCAGAGCCTAACAGGATTTTCCAAGACAACCACCAACCTCTTTTCAACAGCCTCTAACAACACTATTAAGCACCAACTACCAAAATATCTTGCTGAGACTTGCCTGGAGTGGCCTCCCCATGGAGAGGCCTGTAGCCCCAGCAGTACTGGTACCTTCAGCGGTACCTGCTGGCCTGAGACTGGCACATCTCCATGACAGAGAGAGCACACAGCAGCTCTGGTGTTATGCAGTCTGGACCCTGCCATGTCCTTCACCCTGCCACCTCATCCAGACTACCTCATCAGGCTCCTTCACATCACTGGTGAGCACCTCCAATGGGCTCAATAGCAAGGCAGCGCTGACCCATCTCTCATTCTCCCCCAGAGGGAAAATGTCTTAGGGGGAACACCAGTGATATGTTACTGTTGGGGGCAGTGGACTAAATACCTCTGCTACAAACACTCCTGCACGTACACAGGCCACCACGTGCTCACTGAAGGGACAAAAAGTGCACATCATTTCCAGCCTTAGGCATGTCCTTGCCAGAATTCATCCCACATTACTCCAAAAAGCATAATATGACAATACTGAGTAATAAGAATATCAAGAGTCCAGGGGACTGGACGATCAAGCCACATGTCAAAGGACTTGGCTCTGTATACAGAAGATAATAAATGTCTGTCCCTCTGTTCACCAGGAGCTGGCAGCACTCACAATGAGAGTAAATTATCATTTAGCAGAGAAAGTGCAAATAAGTAATTTTCTTCCGTAAAAGAAATTTTGCCACTAGCTGCAGAAGACGTTAGCATCAGCCCCTAAGCAGATGTAGCAAGCAGCGCTTGGGCATCAGCAAATGTCCCCATTGCAGGACAAGCTGGCTGGAACAGAGAGCAGCCTGTGACAGCAAAGGACTCTGCTGTCTCCAAACTACAGTAAAAAAAAAAAAAAAACAAAAAGAGGGATCAGTTTAGAAGCATTCCTCAGTTCACCTACCTTTAAAAAAAATAAAAAGGTGGCAAAGAGCATTTCCAAGTGTGTCTTTGTACACTACTCTGTGTAAACGTGAATCCAATTAACTTCAAATTTAACTAGTAATGAAATTATCTCATTTTGCTATCAGCTCAGCTCTCATCTATGGCAGTAATTAACCACTGGGGGTTGTCACTCCCAGACACATGACACAAGGACTTCCCCAAGCTCAGGTGCTTCAAACCCATGCAGAATTCATTACCCTGACAGCATGAAAACCCTTCACTCTCAATACCGCAGGGCACCAATGCATTTTTTTCCCTTTATCTAACAGATTGGCAGTAACAGTATGAAAGAAATGAGCCCACTGGACACATAATTAATTACAGCAAAGGATACATCAGAAAATATAGGGGGTTCA